AAAATACCTTACAAGATGTCATGTCTTTCTTAGCTACTAGCTAAGAAGCATGCTTAACACTAGAAAATTTATTGAGGAAGAGGGTTGCAGCTGTGTTCCAAGTGTTCCTTGTGTGAAAAAGATTGTGACAGCATAAATCATCTCTTCCAACACTGGAAGTTATAGACCAGAATTGGCCCCTGAGGTTAGCTCAATTGGGAAAGGCTGAGAAACTTATGTCTTATGTCACGTTTTGAGCCCTGTGCCAAGCGAATCAGCTTTGGTATTTAGGATAAGGATAGAGGGGCGCACCCATCATGCCCGGCTACAGTTGGCCCAAGAGGTTGACTCCAAACGAATTTCTTGGTCATAAGAAAAAGAGTTACCAGCCAGATTTGGCAACTAACATTTAAACGAATCAAGTGGGCTATGCCAAAGAATAGAGAGCAGTTGGCCTGCTGGAATGACACTGTAGGTACTAGTAGACAGAAAAAATGATGGCAAATATACCTGCTTGAGTATGGTGGATGATTGCATGGAAGGAGAGAAACACAAGATGCTTTGAAGGAACCCACAACTCTGTAGAGAAAGTCAAGATGAACTGCCGGTCTTTATTTTATTTTTTGTTGCAAAGATCATCTCCTAGATGATGTTGAATCTCTCATAAATATCATAGAATCCTTGTTAGAAGAGCAAGGAGATTATTTTGTTTCTATTGAAATGTAAAACGATGGTTTATACACAACCTTTGTGATGATGATATATGACATTGTTACCTTTTTCAACAACAACAAAATTGTGTGCCAGAAAAGAGAAGAAGAAAAAGTATAAAGGACATCTTCGAATGAAAAATCTCGACTTCAAACTAAGAGATAGTCTTAAATTTAATATTTAACCCACCAAGAATTCCTTTCACCTACCAGTGGAACTCAAAAGGTCCCTCAGCAAGTTCATTTAAAAATGATATCAGGTGATTTCAGACAACTTTTTTTGAAGACATGTGATCAAAGCATTAGTACTAAGAAAGAACGACCAGAATAGTTATTCAAGCAATTGCAGTGTTTCAACAATTAGATATGGCTATTTTATGTTGCTAGTTGGAAATAATAGCGTTGAAGTTGCCAGAGACAACTCACACCACATGACATTTAAGTGGTAACACTATCAACATTATGATTCAATTAGCTATTAAATTGTTATGATTCAAGTAGCTATTAAATTGTTCATCTCAATCAGAGCATTATGCAGTAAAGAGCATACGGAATAGGACTCCATGAATTGTAACAAGTTCAATCCTGCAGAGGAACATGCCAATAGACACCAAGGGGGGCTTTTTCAGTAGCCAGTTTTCGTGAGCAAAAACCACAGGTTTATTTCAGGTACCATTTCAAGGTAGTGGCTTATTATTGGTCTTTTCTGTTCTTATTGTTTGGATACAAAATAGATTGGGCAAAGATAGCCATCTTCATTCCAGAACTAGAAAGTTTTTTCATGTATGGGCTAAAAGAGAATGTTGTCCCCATGCGCCTTTTGTGACTTGTATAGAAAATAAAAGAGATTCAGAGTGTAAATTAACTCCAAAATATTAGGAGTGTTTGCTCACACTTCTTTATGTTTCTCTGTAAGAATACTGTATGGCAGTGGAGATGCTTTGGCTGTTCCACGAAGAGCTTGAGCCTTAACAATTCATTATATACATCACTTTCTTGGGTACTATCTGGATGCAAGTAAGTTTCTATCTATATTTATCAGCAAAAAGGAAAAATAAGAGAAAACTAGAAACAAGATGCCAACATACTATCAGCAACTGTGGAGCCACATCAACCATTATCAATATTTCTGCTTCAGGTGGACAATTTCACCAGCATAGAATAAGAACACTATGAAGTATTTAATAGTCTCAACGAATATGCGATCTATATTGGCAATCAAGTTCTAAGTAAACAAAATCATAAGCAGTAATAACAATACCTCTTTAAGGTCACTGCCAAATTCTTTGACAGTAGATATAGCTACAGTGGCAGCTTCATCATAAGGATATCTGGGAAGTACAAAAAAATAATGAATAGGGGCAACCATCTATAACAGGTAAGATTATATATTGCTCCTAAAAAGGTGACCATACTGCAAATATTATTTCCTAGCTCAATAACATGCAAACAAGTTAGCCAGGAAGCACTCATAAACTGGAATTTCCAAATGATCATATGCACCATGTGGCAATATTTAAAAGCCGGTAGCCAAAGACAGGGGTAAACATAGTCATATTAAAAAGGCTAGTTCTTTGATATGCTCAAACTGAGGACTATTAACTAATTTTCTCATTCAACAGTCGACGTAAATCACCAGGATATATAAATTTATTTGTGCAGAATTTAATTCATGACACACAATGAAACAAACAGAAAAAAGGAATTGAAACTACAATTTTTATGTAACAATTTGTGCCAAGAAAACTACGGGTTGACTGATTTTAAGTGGAGAAATGAAAAGGAAAGATTCAGAAGACAGAATTTGTAAGCTGTGATAATAACACAACAGTTGATTCATTTCTTAGTGTAGGTTCGCTGTAACAACAGTTTTCACTTTAGTCAGTCCCCTACAGAACATTAAAAAAAATAAAATAGACAACCATTATCTAGGCACTTAAATGTCAGATAACGTAGAAACTTATTCTTTAGTAGCCCCACCATGTTCTTCTTTCATCCTCAATAGATGGTGGATTATTTAGCTTGGAGATGTAACCATCACAACCATAGCTTAATAAGCTCAAGTTCCTACAAACTTGAAATGCATGGTTAATCCATATGAACTCACCCAAAGACCCCACATGATATGGCAGGAAAAGCTATATACTGAATGTTGTTCTCTTTTGCCACACGCAGGCTATTTCTGCAGTATAATTACAGAAAAGAGAATCAAATAAGGTATGACAACGAAACCAATTTACGAGTAATATTAACAATCATTCACAAACCTATATGCATTTGTCAAGGAGGCTTTAGGATTCGGGTTAGCATCATATACTGGTCCAACAGTGTGGATTACATGGGAAGCTGGCAATCTGAAACCACTGCAATATTTTCCTACCACAATGTAAGTTTACTGACAACATACTACAAAAACCTATTGTTCTAATGCATTATTGGAGCCAAAGACTGCGCACATACGGGGTAATCCTTGCTTCTCCTGTTGGACAGCGAATTCCAGGCTGTACCTCTCGTACTTTATAGCATGCATCTCGTAATTCTGGACCAGCAGCTCGATGTATGGCTAGAAATGGGCAAAATTGAAATTAGACTACATAGATCATGGAAAAGAAGCAACACTTCAGCAGTAAATTAGAGAATTACCTCCATCAGCACCACCACCACCCAACATTCTCTCATTCGCAGGATTGACCTGTATAAAAGTGGTGCAAATATGAAGGCCACAACCAAACGCCACAATATCAAGAAGGATAGACAGAATCAAATATATCATAAAGCCCAAAAAAGGATCATAAGCAGAACTGAAAATATCATCAGCCTTAATAGAGAAGGTCTGCTGGACATTTTATTTCTGCGTTCCTCTTTTATTGTGCTTGAAGTTGTTTATAGTTCACGAATGAAGTACTTCTGAAATTTACAAACAAGTAAATCTGAAGTCAAGCTGTGTACAAAGTTAAAGTTATTATTATTCAGTTAGGTAAGCTGTTGATATAACCTGCTTGGTTTCATTATCTAATCTTCAACTTTTCCTCAATGAATGATTAAATTTCTTTAACAAACAAAACATATAAGAATGTAGTCGAAGACTTAAACATCGTAACATTTGTATACTTCAAAGCAAAATTCTCATTTCAAGAGAAAAAAGGCTCTTGGGCAACTTAGCAGCATTTGATTTCATTTCAAAGCCAGACACAAGCACATGGCACGTAGAAATACAATGATGACCGCTGGTGACGCACAATTGGAGCCCTATATTTAGCTGTGAACTCCTTTGGATTGTGTTTGCTCCTTAGTTTAGCCTAGCTTTTGTACATGAGCAGACACTTTCCTCTTTCATGCAGATGTTTGTTATGCATCTTCTTGATGCCTCAAAATGACAGCTGGTACCAGAACAAGTGAGACCATTCCAACTTCGACATTTAAATTATAAAAATGAATCCAAAAAAAGATTTAAAACTGTCGGAAATTCAGTCTTGTTTTTTTAACATAGAGCCAGTCCAGCGTCTAATTAATCACTCACGCCCAAATTTGTTGAATTGACTATATGAATTCTCTGTATTTATTCTGCTCTAGGTTATCAAGATCAAGAAATGTTGGTGAGAACTTAGTCAAATGAGAAAAAGACAGAGGTAGATAGAGGAAAAGCACAGTAGCTCATCACAGCCATACAAAATGTACATAGAATATATTTTGACAAACAGATTTACAAGCTAAAGCTTCAGTAGGTGGTAGTGACTGATCCCTAATGATATGAGCTAACAACCTAACAAACCCACTGCCTCCTTTTTACTGTTGGCCTTATAACAACACCCATCCTAGAGATCACCGTTGTTCTCAAGGGTTACAATTTAGTCAGGGTGACTCTACTTCCACCAAGATTTTACTTGAACTATTGAAAAGTTACTCCTTAGAGGGTTTCCTATCTCTATGAAAGAAGAATCCATCTCTAATAAGCTTTCAACAGTTTAATTCCCATATCAAATACACTGAAAAGGTTTTATAATTACACAAATGTTATGAACAAGAGCAGAGACAGCACAGTGGTTACAGGTTCTGAAGAACCCAGTAGCTTAGGTTCAAACCCTTCATTTGCATTAAAATTTCATTTAATATGAATAAATAATCTATTAAAAACCCAATAAGCAAAACAAATTGTATTCCAGAACCCAAAAAACTAAAAATCTTGGTTCCACCTCCAATTATGATATATCTAAGACGATAAGATTTAAAAGTCATGTAGCCACATGAATGTTATGTAATGTTTACGATTGCTCGTTTCAAAAGAATTTCTATCACATAAATTGAAACGAAGGAAGTTCCTTTTTCATAATAAAACACTACAAACAAACAAAATTTTGAAAAACTGAAAAACTAAATCCACCAGTATATCAAACAAAAGCCACATGAGTTTGCGCTTTGTTTGAATATCAATAAGAAACTCATATAGTTTTGAATCAGACAGTACACATGGTTTCATAACAGTATCTGCAGCAGTATCGTGAGAAAATAACACAGCAAAATAGCAAAATAAAAAACAAGCGCAGCAACATACAGTAATACACATTGAAAAATTCAAACTAGAAATGATTCAGCTAAAATTCAAAAGCAGAGATACGTAATACTTACAATAGCGTCAGAGGATCCATCTACGGACCAGCGAGTAATATCACCTTTCTGAATCTTCAACAAGCTCGACGGAGTTAACTGAAACGTAACTGGATTTTCACCGCCGCTGGCCATGGTTGAAACGCCGGCGATACTCGATCTTCTGCCCCGTACGACGGCGATCAACTGCCGAGGACTAATTGAAATGACGGAAATGGGCCTGATGAAAGTGTCAATGGCAGTAGTAGGGTTCAGCGTGTAGAAGTTTCTGGAGGACTGAAAGTGTGAGTTTTGAAAGTTTTGAGGGGTATTAAAGGAAGGAAAATATCGTAAGAGTGTTGAACAGAGTTTGTGATACGTTGCAGGAGGAGACCTCATTTGTCTACTTGATTGTCACTTTGGAGTCGATAGTGAGAAAATATTTGGGAAAAAAATAAAAGTAAATATCGATCTCCGCATATGGCGCTAATGCCTACCCAGTGCAAGAAGGTTAAAGAAAGTTGGTGTTAAGAAAGCTCGTGAATGACGGTCGTAATTATAACGGTCCTAAGGTAATGAAAGGCGACACAAGTGATGAAATGGCCGAGATAAAAGATCGTAAACCCGTGAAGCTGAGCTAATCCCAAAAATTCGTTCTCATGAGTTTGGACTGTAGGCTGCAACTCGCTTTCATGAAGAAGGAATCACTAGTAATTGTCGGTCAGTCATACGGTGGTGAATTCAATTTCGAGTCTTATACACACCGTCCGTCACACTACGGGAGTTGATCATGCCCGAAATCGTTACCTTAACCGTAAGGAGAGGATGCTAAATTGAACAATCTCGTCACAAGCATTGCAATGGTACAATTGTATTCGTAGTTCTAACACAAATTCTGAGCTTTTTCTTTTATGACAAAAATCAGAGTGGAATTGAAAATACTTTTAAATTTGGCATGAATTATTAATTTCATTCTCATAGTATTAATAGCCTCGACACATTCATTTATTTGATTAGCTGACTTAAATATTCCGGTTCTTGCAACATGAGTGAAATTTATCTTTAAATTTTCATCAAATTTAGGGAGATTTCAATACTTATGACTTTTTTTTAATCAAGAATTCATGTTCTTACAAGAGATTGAGAACACTTGTTATATTATGTGACAGATCAAAAATATATTTTAATTTAAATAGTGAAATAAAAAATAATTTTAAGACTTAAAATCAAATGAAATAGTGTACGTCAAAAGTAGAATTTGTAAATCACATAGAGAGTCAATACAAAATAATTTTGCATAATAAATGCAACTTGTAATCTAAAGTACAATAGATAATTTATATCTAATTTTTTAGGTTACTAAACCACACACACTATTTTTTATTTATTTCTAATAGGAGCAACACAATTTTGTACACTATTAATATGTAAATACTTGATGCCTTCTCTTTTTCTAATGGCATTTTTTTAAGTGGTGAAATGGAACAAAATTCACAATTACCCACTATTCCTAATAATAAAAATAACAAACGTCAAGTGAGTCTTAAATTCTACAAGTAAAAACTCTAAATTTATAATATCATCACGAAGTTTCACTCGTAAAATATAAAACTATATGAAGCTGAAAAACAATCATGACGTTATTTCGACGATCAAAAACTAAAATTGAGCCCCTTCAAAAGTTTGTCCAAATTGCCAATTAGATGGTGCAGCATTGTTGCTTGTGATAGTTCTTCCATCACTTGTTGTCACTTGAAATGAAAGACTTTGTCCATTAAGATATGCATTGTTTTGCCAATTTTGGCCCCAATTTCTTGACATTAATTGCCATCCATTTTTAGAACCTTTAATTGAAACTGAATGAACATCACCAGCACCACCAACATTAGTCACTAAAATTAAGTTGTAATATGAGTGGCCATTTATTGTAAATCTTATTCCACCCTTCTTCATGCAAGGTACCCTATAAATAAATTTAAAAAAAATCACATATTAATAAATAGAAATTACTTATAACATATGCATTTGGTATAGTATATGAATTCAATCAAACTATAAGAAAACTGTGAATTACATGAGAATTTTTCTAAGAATTAGTATGAATATTTGCAGGAAAATAAATTTTTTGCGAATTTTCATACTGATCCCCATGTAATTCACGTTTTTTTGTAGTGTAAGTTCAAGTTAGTGATATTTATATGCACTATCTTTGAACAAAAAGTGTCTTTCATTTATATTACTTTATGCGATATTTTTTTTATTTCTCATCTGGTGTTTTATACTCTTTTGAGACTCAATAAATTCAAAGTCGCTCCAGAATGCTACGCATTGAGGGGGTGTTTCTTATTCTATACGATATTTTTTTGATTTCTCATTTGGTGTTTAATGCCTTTCGAAAATTCAATTAATTTAAAGTCGTGCCAGAATGATAAGCATTAGAGGAGCGTTTCCTAGTTCCGACCCAAAATGATACTTTTAGGACTTATATAAAAAACATAAGAATGAAGGAATGATTATCACTTTAATTTTCACCGTAAGATAATGTTATTTTCTCTCTTATAGTCTATATCTCAACAAGAATATTAAATTTTATTAATTTCATTTTACTATATTCCTTGAAATATAAAAGCAAAAAGTATACACTATTATTGGAATAAAATATGTTTTAAAAAGAAAATAAATAAGATATTTATTTGGATAAAAAAAAAGAAGCACATTTTCATCAATTAAGTAATAATACGGATAGTTTTAGATCCAACTGTTAACTGAGAATATTTTTATTCAGTTTCACAGAGTTTAGAGACGATTTAAATATTTTCCTTTGTAAGTTTAATATCATAAACTGATATTACTTTCGATATATTCAAATTAAATCGTGTTCAATCAAATACCATCACACGCAAACTATGTCATACCTTTGGAATGATATTGGGACAATACCAGCTTTATATTGTGCAATTTTCAAGAAGGCAGGTTGTGCCAAATCAAAATGTTGCAATGGAGGGTTGCACCAACCACCATTGTTGTTAGATAATGATGGATTTGGTGGACAAAAATTTGTTGCTGTGACAGTAATTGTTGTTCCTGGAAGACACAATTTGTCATCATTATTGTTGCATTTGAGTTTGTAGCAAGCACCACATGTTAATCCATTGTTGAATAAGGATGTACTTAGTGCTGCAGTGTTTGTACCATAACCTTGGCTGTTTAAATTACCATAACCACAAGCACCCCCTGCATTATTATTTTTTTTGAATCATTAGTACTTCATATAGAGTATTGTGTCACTAGTTCTACGTCATAACAATAGCATATTCAGTATTTTTATAAGTAGGGTTTCGAAGAACGTAGAATATATGTAGATATCTATTTTTTTGAGGGATAGAGAAACTTATTCTGATAGATCATCGACTTACTTTAGGTCCGACTTGACCCTGATTCGGGTTGAAAAATCTCACGTGGTAAATAAAACACGCTTCTTATCAAAGACGACTCTATTTTACTTAGAAATGGAAAAGTATTTACCATTTTGCCATAATGTTATTACAAATTAGGAACTAGGAGTACTTATTGTATGGTTGAGAGATTTAAAAAAAGATCTACTTTGATGTACAGGTATATCGCTTCCTATCAAAGGCGATTCCATTTTAAGGATTCATACATGAGGTGTATTTATGGCTCCACCCACAATCTTTGTTGCATAATAAATACTTTATCATCTGTTTCAATTTATGTGATGTTATTTGATTTGACAAAATTTAAAGAAGAATAAAAATATGTATAATCCAGCATTACTAAATATAAATATAAAATTGTCACTTTTTTTTGTTGATATTGATAAAAAAATAAATATATCACATAAATTGAGATAAATACCCGTCGAAGTGGTAATTACTCATCATTTAGTTAAGGACAATTAATGTTTAAAGCAAAGGTTGTGGTGCAACTAGCTATTGATGGAATTGCTCCATCGGAAGTTTCGAGTTAGAGCTCTGAGTAAGTAAAAAATCTTGATAGAGAGTGTTCAATCCTGAATGAAGCCTTACGTGACACGAATACGAAATATATAGTCAAACTCCAATACAGATATCGAGTATCACGTGAAAAACTAAAAAAAGAAAAAAAAAACATACCCATTGTACCAGATGCATCACCCCCTCCATAGAGAGTAGCATGAGCACTTTGCCACCCTCCATTATCACCAAAACTCTCATTGAAGCACAAGCTTGTGAAGATGAGAAGAAGATGAAAAATAGAAAATGTTGAAAGAGAATAATAAACAGCCATTATTATTGATAATTAACAAGTTCTCAAAGTAATTAATTTTAATGATATAGAAAGGATTAGAGAGTAGTACTAATTAATTAAATGGCTAACACCTAGCTAATATATATAGTTGAGGGGGTATGAAGAAGCTAATCGCGCTCCTTCCTTTAAATTATATACACTGATAATATATATTTTATCTGTTTCAAATATAATGATATTTTCATTTCTCAAAAATTAATTTGATTAATTTAAAAATCAAGCAAAATATGACAGATAATTTAAAATAAAAGAATTAATATTTTTATATATATATATTATTAGTATAATTTAACCCATATATGAAGTTACTTATTATGTATGTTAATAAGTTATAAACTAATACTGTCAAATAAAATTATTTGTAATGACGTTTTAAAATAATGTGATTAATGTGGAAATATATTTTATAATTTATATTGAACAATTATATAGAAAATGGGAAAAATACTAGAGTTAACCAAATTTTTTGTCTTTTAACTTTTATTATTACTTTATTTAATTGACTCTTCCCCTTTTTATTATTTAATATTTTATTAAATCATTTACTAATATTTATTTATATATAATATGGTCATAAAACGACGATCAAGCATGCACATGCGCACAGTTGTTCTAATTGAACCACCAGTTGATTGTATATTAATTATATTAAGATCCCTTTCTCAAATACATAACGAAAATTTCGATATAAAATTTTGAAAAATTTAAAGAATAATATATAAAAAAAAATTAGTTGAAAATAATTTGAGAATTGAAATTATATTTGAACATAATTATATGGATACAAATTGAAACTGTTTTAATTTTTTTTATTATGTTATTTAAAGTAGAATTTTATGAAAATACTATTTTGTAGTTCTTTGAATTTTTTTAAAAAATTATAATAATTTTATGTTAAAATCTTTTTCGTGGACAGAAGTTAAGACTTTAGCTATGGAGTCAGTTGGCCCTGACGGTCAAAACGGTCCATTTACAAGATTAAATGAGCTCCAAAGCAGGTAAATCTTCTATTTTTATCGATTTTCGTGTAATATAATTCACCATCTTTTTTGATAATCCAAAATTACGATCTTATTTTTACTAAAAGTTTTGAAGAACGTCTGTTAATACCATAAGGTGAAAATTTTGTCATTCATGTCAAAGTATAAACAATAATTTCTCTGTTATATTTAATAAAATTATGCTAG